AGAAAGAGAGAGAGAGAGAGAAGGACGGAGACGAAGACGGAGACGGACAGAGAGACAGAGAGACAGAGAGACAGAGAGACAGAGAGAGACAGAGACAGAGACACAGAGAGACAGAGAGACAGAGAGACAGAGAGAGACAGAGACAGAGACACAGAGAGACAGAGAGAGACAGAGACAGAGACACAGAGACACAGAGAGACAGAGACGGAGAAAGAGACAGAGACAGAGAGAGACAGAGACAGAGACAGAGACAGACACAGACACAGACACAGACACAGACACGGACACGGACACGGACACAGACACAGACCCAGACACAAAAAGAGAGAGAGAGAGAGAGACAGAGAGACAGAGAGGGGAGTGGGGAGTAGGAGAAGAGAGAGAGAGAGAGAGAGAGAGAGAGAGAGAGACGGTGACGGAGACGGAGACGGAGACGGACAGAGAGACGGAGAGGGGAGTGGGAGAGGAGAGAGAGAGAGAGAGGCACGGAGACGGAGACGGAGACGGACAGAGAGACAGAGAGGGGAGTGGGAGAGGAGAGAGAGGGAGCGACAGAGAGACAGAGAGAGATAGACAGATACAGAGAGACAGCTCGGGCGTGCCCGGTCGAGCAAGTGGCAACATAGTTAAGTCTTGCTTGGCAAATTCAACAGGGCCGGGTGCTAAACTGTAACTTTGCTCCATTCTGGCATTGGGCGGATGATAAAGATTACAAATCGGCTCTCCATGACTGCAATAGAGCCTCTCATGTATCATGCGCTTGTAGCGTTCAAGAGGGGTAGATTTCGTCATGCCTGGTTCCATCACTGAACACACTGCAGGATTCCTGACTGTTGCCACCCCGACTTAGTCCGCAGTTGCTATTGCACCTTTGTATTTGGGTCTTATATGTGTGTTTAACATGGGGTTCTGATGGATCTTTGGTAGACTTGTCGTTCAGGGACCCATATGTAAAAAAACGGCCTAAATAATTAACAATGCTATTTTGGGGTGCCTTCTTCTAACTATGGTATAACATGCCCCAAAACCCTATTCTAATTATTAAGGCCACTACAGTAGTCTTGCTTGCAGTCACCACCGAAGGTCGAAACTCCAAGTCGCAATAGTCTTCGGTCCTGGAAGCCCAACTTGAGGCTTTAGGGTATAGGGTTTGGGATTTAGGGTTTAGGGTTTAGGGTTGTTTAGGGAGTACTGTTGCTAGGGCCCCTCTGGAATAGCTGCTGCTGCTTACTTGTTCAAAGACTGTTCGGCATTCGATGCATCACTACCCTAAATCCAAAATCCTACCACCCCTTCGCACCCAAGCCCTGCAACCCCAAAAGCTTTCAAATCCTTAACGCAGGACTCTCTGAACTTTTCCTTCGTTGATCTTGCAATCTAACTATGCCCTAAACTCATTGGGAAGCAAAGGCCGTCCTCCTGCGTGCAGTGGGTGTGTGCCTCGACTTTACGTTCTGGACTTAACGCCTTTCGAGCTCGGGCCTTGCAGAGAATTTGGGGTTTAGGGTTTAGGGCTTGTTGAAGGGGACTTACTCTGCAGGTTGTCAGTAGGATTATCAATTCCTCGGTTGAGGGTTTCTGTAATTTTCTGATCCCAAGATCAATAAGCCCTTTACTATCCCCTAAACCCTAAACCCTAAACAGTACTCTCTAGGTGCCCAAGTCCTCAAGTACGGATTTAGTGTTCAGGCCATCAAGCCGGCCAAGATCGTAAGCAGCTGGCGGTTAAAGTATTACACCCCTAACCCTGAACCGGCCTAAGCTGGGTTTAGGGTTTAGGGCTTAGGGTCAGCATCGGGTCCTCCAGAAGACTAGCCGGGTGGAGCATCAGATGCTTCTATGCAAGTCCCAGATACTTCTGGTAGAACCTCTCGGGCTCCTCCAAAGCGCGAACATCCCCCACCAGAGGGGCTTTAGGGTTTAGGTTTTGGGTTGAGGGTTCAGGTTTAGGGTTTAGGGTTGAAGAATTAGCAGACATGAATATACCGCGCCGTCAGAGTCGTCCGCATTTTCTGTAAATGACACCAAAGCCTGCTTCAAGCATCAAGACTCCTATGGCATTCGCTGTGCTGCAATAAAGAAGCCTGAAAAATTGCTTCTGACAAATTGCTTCTGACCTCGAACCCTAAACCCTAAACCCTAAACCGTGAACCCTAAACCCTAAAGACCAAAGGAACTCTGTGCAGTCGATCCTCACATTTCGCGTCACCCACGGCTGCGGGCAGGCGGACTCTCCTTGTCGGGATCCTTGTTCTTGCTTGCGCTGGCTTTAGATCTTTAGGTTTAGGGTTTAGGGTTTAGGGTTTAGTCTAGGGGCCTGAAGAATGAGAATAGGGTTTTGGGGCATATCTTTAGGGCTTAGTGTAGGGGCCTTAAGAATGAGAATAGGTATAGGGTTTTGGCGCATATCTTTAGGGTTTAGTACAGGGGCCTTAAGAATGAGGGTTTTGGGGCATATCTTTAGGGTTTAGTATAGGGGCCTTAAGAATGAGAATCGTGTTTTGGGGCATATTAACTTATAAATCAATGAGGAACCCCAGAATAGTATTGGTAAGTATTTAGGCCGCTAGAATACGTGCTTATGTGCGTTGACGGCCACTGGTCAAAGGGCTCTAGGGGTGGGATGAAGGTAGGTGGAGAATCCCAAAGTATGAGTCTTCATAGAAGGGATCCTTAATCACACCTACCTTCATCCCACCTGCTGAGGCCTCCTGACTGTTTATTTATTCCGTCAAGGGCCAAACCCTAAACCCTAAGCAGCTAAACCCTAACCCTAAACCCCTAAACCCTAAAGCCCTAAACCCTAAACCCTAAACCCCTAAACCCTAAACCCTTCAGCCATTTGTAGCTCCACTTACAGCCGGAATGAGTCGAACTCACGTCCCATACCCCCAGGCCGTCAAGGAGGACCGAGGCATTCCGCGGCAGCCCCCCAAACCCCAAAACTACAAGATACCCCTGAGTTAGGCAACGTATGTAAAATCGTGTTCAAGATCCTTCTATCATGTAAGCTCATGTACTGTAATGTGGATTCCTTACTCAAAACTTCCGAAGTCTCTGGGAAGAGCGCAGCCTAACTGGCGCTGCAGGCAGTCAAAAACATGCCCGTGGTCCCGCACGATGCCCCAGAGCTCATGCAGGAGGCTTTCAGTTGTTTGTTGGGTTTAATCATATTGGGGCCTGCATAAGTACCAATAGCTATTCTGTAGGGGCCCTTAATACCATCATACATATAAATATAAATATAAATATAGATATATATATATATACACATAAATATGAANNTATATATATGTGTTTTTATTTAGTTATGATTATATTACATACATACATATACCATACCCCGAAAACCCAATTCTGAGAAGAACCGCCTCTATACTGGAGTATCCGAAACATTCTTCAACCCTGCATTTTGGAGGGTTGGAGGGCTTCAGGGGGCTTCGGCCTGAAAGGTGTACAGGGTTGATGGGGAACTTTGGCCCAAAGATGACGCTGACAACCGGTTTTTTCAACCCCCCCCCCCCCCCCCCCCAGAGGTTTTCGTCCGTGTGAAGCAACTCCTCCACGTCTCCACTCTTCTGAACCCTGAGAGCCCTAAATCCCACACTCGGAACTCGGTAGGATGGCCCTATGGAGTGCGTGATTTGTCTCGACAGCCTGGCTCTTGCAGATCGGAAGGCTGGATTCTGATGTGCAAACTGCTGTTGTGAAAGCGGCAATTAAGTCGCTGTCACGATCGTTGCTGTTGTTGTTGTTGTTGTTNNGTTGTTGTTGTTGCTGCTGTTGTGGATGATGCTGAGGGGAATCTGTTGAAATGCCCATCTGACAGGTTCATTCGTCGTGGTCATAGATATGTTTGTAGTAGTAGGGGGGCTATCACAGTTGCTATCGAAGAAAAGTTGCAGAGGCTTCGCACTTAGGCTCTTCGGTCTTTGGAGAGAGTTCATGATGCAGTTCATGATTTCTGATGGTTTGACGATGGATGCCGATTCCTTCAAAATTTCCGGGTAAGGACTTCGAGGGCTTTCCGGAGAGAAGGTTCGAGCTGTCAAGTTTGAAAGCCTCAGATCTGTAGCTCACAGCTTCTCCTATTGTTGATGATATAAATCCTGCATTACCCTAAGGGCCCTAAACTCTGGGAAATATGGTATATTCCTTATTATGGGTAATGCAGGATTTATATCAGCAACCGTATTACCCTATAGCTACGAGACACGCCCGCCGCATTGAATGAACCCCAAACCTTACCCAGAGAACCCAATACCCCTTCATTAAGGAATATACCTTAAATCAGAATATTAAGGCCCCTATAATTCAAGGTATATTCCTTAATTAAGGGGTATTGGGTTCGCTGGGTAGCAACAGCTCCGATAAGGCGATGAAAGGCCTTTCAGGGCCCAAGGCTCTGGCGCTGCTTAAGGTGTTGGGGTTTAGGGGTTCGGGGTTTAGGGGTTTCGGGGTTTACTGTTTAGGGGTTCAGGGTTTAGGGGTTCGGGGGTTTAGGGGTTTGGGGGTCTAGGGGTTTATGGTTTAGGGGTTCGGGGGTTTAGGGGTTTGGGGGTCTAGGGGTTTATGGTTTAGGGGTTTAGGGGTTAGGGGTTTAGGGTTTAGGGGGGGATGTGGGGTTTAACTTAAACCCTCGAGCTCATCTGAAGCCACGTACTTCAGAGGTGCTGAAAACTCCGTGCCAGCACCTCTTCCACGAGGACCGACCCTACCAGGTACCAGATGATACCCCGAAACCTAAACCTTAAACCCTAAAGTCCTAAAGCCCTAAACCACTAAACCACTAAACCCTAAACCCCTAATCCCCGACCCCAAACCTCAAAGCCTGGCTTCCAAATCCTTTCACTAGATCCTAGAAGCCCATTTGAGGCTGAAAATCCTCAGCCTTAAATCGACCTGCACTGCCTTGAAATGATTTCAATCGCACGCACATGCGAGAGAGAACTTGAAAAGACGTCCGGCCGATGCTGATGAAACCTGCTTGTTTGCAGGGTCCCTACAAATTCTATATGTAAGGTTTATATTTTATGATACGAACCTACAACAAAATAGGTTCTGGTATATCAACGTAGAGTCGGAGATGGCAGAGAGAGTTTACAGGTTCGCTGAATCCGCCCAATGCCTGGGGTGAACTGTTTCCCTGATACAAGTGTTGCAGATGATGCTGCTGATGCTCGCGTTGCGGTTCGTTATTTGGGTCGAACTGTTACCCTGCCGCGGGTTCAGGGGCCCAAAGATGGAGGAATGAAACTAAAACCTCTCCCAGCTGATGCTGATGCTGCTCGCGGGTGCGGTTCGTCGAATCCGCTGAATGATTGGGTCGATGGGAGAATGTAATCAGAAAGTTTCCCTCCTGATGCTGATGATGCTGCAGTGCGGTTCGCTGAATCCGTCCAATGATTGGGGCGAACTGTTTCCCTCCTGCGGGTTGACTGAAATTAAAAAGGTTTCCCAGCTGATGCTGACGATGCTCGCGTTGCGGTTCGCTGGTTCCTTCCAATATCTGGATCGAACTGCCACCCTGCTGGAGGTTCTCGGAGATAGGAAAAGGAGTTCAAAGCAAAACAGCTGATGCAGATGATGCTCGCGCTGCGGTGGATCGAACTGCTACCCTGCTGTGGGTTCCGAAACCCGGAAATAACAACTGAGTTCGAAAAGACTTCCAGCTGATGCTGATGATGCTCGTGTTGCGGTTCGCTGAGTCCGTCCAATGACGGTCGAGCTGCTACCTTGCCATATCTTGCCATGGGTACAGAGGCCGAGAGAGAGTTCAAGAAGCTTTCCTGCTAATTCTCGCCTTTCGGTCGGCTGATCAATGATTCGAACCTGCTCGTCTGCCGTCGCTTCCATCGCCCAGGGGGAGAGTTTATAACAAACTTCAAAGTCTTGCCGACGCCTGAAATCTTCAAGCCGCCATAGAGCCCGACCTCCAAACTGCTGCACAACGTTAAACATATATATATATATATACATACAGAAGCTTTGATATTTGCCAATATTCTTTGGGCTCCTCACTATAATGATCCTACGATGGAGCCCAAAACCCTATTCTAACGAATCATTAAGGCCCCTACGCTAACATTAAGGCCCCTACACTAACAGCCTGTGATCTCTTTCTCCGAAGCTTAAAATAGGCTCACATTGTCAAGCTGTTGAACCCGAAAACCGTGTTATATAGATGTCCCTGATGCCTTTTCTAAACACTAAGAGGTTCGTGTCTGAGTGTGGATTTTCGGTTTTAAATGCCCAGCGGCTGCAGCTCCAGAGGATTGCCTCGCTGAGTGGGGTCGCAATCATGTCAATTGCCCGATCTGCAAGCGCGACCTTTGCGACACCTGAGGTGGGCTTGTCGGTGTAGGGCGTAGGGAAGAGGGCTTTCGGGTTTAGGGCTATCGTACCCGATATTGACCCTGATAGTAAACTTCATGAACCCAGATATGGTAGTATGTTGAAGGCCCAGAAGTGAGGGTGCAGGAATCCCACCCTAAACCCTAAACCCTAAACCCTAAACCCTAAACCCTAACCTGAATGCAGCGATTCGGAGAACCGCTGCGGGTTCAAGCTCGACCTGGGCACCTTTTCTAGGGCTCCTACTATGGCGTAAGGCTCAAGAAGGAAGGTTATTTGGGGCCCAGGTAGGGCTTTGGGCTCAGGGAATTAACGACGGGATTTGGCCAGGGGAGGTGGGCACAGACCTCCATGCTTTACTGTTTAAGGGTTTAGGGGTTTAGGGTTTAGGGTTTAGGCTTTAGGCTATAAACCTGAAGACTTTGAAACCGTGAGCGCTTATCCTGAGCCCTCGAATTCTGCACTCCGACCAGACGAAGGACTGTAGGGGTTTCGGTGGTTTCAGGGTCATGCTACTTGGGAACAGGAAAGCTGAAGTTTTAGGAGTTGCCGGCTTGGAAGTTTGGCTTCGGGGTTGGAGGTTCCGGGTTGAGGGTTGAGTTCTGGGATTCAGAGCCTGAGCCCTTTTCTTCCGCACCCCTTTGAAGGAACCCTTACAGGCACAGCGTCCACCCCTCCACTTCTTTTTTGCTCATTGATCTTCGGGACCCCCGGTATGTGACCCTGACACTTACCTTCGCATGACCCTTATGTATAGAGGTGCTTGCAACCCTCAACCCCCAAACTCCCGGACCACCCCCTCAAAGGCCTGAATCCTGAACTTCTAGATCAAGATTGCGTGTTTCCGCGACATGGCATCATCCGGACCTAGAGACCCCAATAGCCCTTAATTAAGGAATATACCTTACATCATCACAGGGTCCCTAATATGATTTAAGGTGTATTCCTTAATTAAGGGATCTTGGAGTCTTTGGGGACCCCACACCATTATTTATTGAAGACCTCTGGCCTCAGCGACAGAGAGGTTATGACTCACTGACAGCCCCTGGCTCATGGCCTACTAGGGTTTAGGGTTTTAGGGTTTAGGGTTTAGGGTTTAGGCTTTAAGGTATGGCTTAGATTTGGGGCTAAGTTTAGCCTTTTCTCAATCTGGTCGGTGGCAGTGCAGGTTCCGGCACGAGTCGCGCAATAGTGAGCGTGCTCCGTCTTTGTAGTTGATTCATTGATAGGTTGCGCTGGAAATGATCAGTGCAGCATACAGCCAGGCCTGTGTCCTTAAGCGGACGGAGGATTAATTAGCGTAGTTGATACAGTGTGGTGCCCGCGGAAGTTCCTTCCAGTCCCAATTGCAAAGGACATACCGGGCACTGCATTAGCAGTGAACTGCGAAAAGCAATCTCCCATTCCAGCACCTCCTGTGCTCCAGATGCAGACATCCCGAAGCAACACACGTGGTAGCACCTATTTCGCAAATATTGGACTAGGATGCAGACAGTCTAATATAGGGGCCTAAATAATTACCAATACTATCTTGGGGGTTCCTTATTACAAATATAGTATAGTGGGCCCCAAAACACTATTCTAATTATCAAGGCCCCGCCTATAGTAGGTTTTAAGACGAGCTCCAGGCTTAGGCGGGTTGTCTCAGGTTCGAAGTCCTAGATGAAGGCCTAGCTAAAGCTTTCGTTCTGCTTTGCACAAAGGCTCATGCAGCCGACAAGCATTGATGGTACAGTATATGATAGAATATGGTAGTATATGCTCGTATATGATAGTATGTTATGTATGCGGGTATATTGTAGTGTGTGTGTGTGTGTGCTTTCTGGAACGCAGTGGAGGACGAGATAGTCTGCACGAAATCTAGTCTGTGACGAGAGCCGAATCCAGCGAGCTGGGGCCATCCACCCCACCGGAATTTCACATCACGGCCTCCCAGTCTCAGGGGTTCAGGAATTAGGGCATATGACCTTTCGGCACTTGTGGCAAAGAGTACCCTGTCATTGGGGTGTGTCGCGGAAGAACATCTTCTTGCAAGACCAGTGTACACAGTTGCGTCGAAAGTCACAGACCAACGCCACACCTGGCTGCGAGCCCCGAACTCTGAAGTCCTAAAGGCTAGTTAAATCCGAGGCTCCCTGGCTGTGACGTAGGGATCTAGATAGTTACCAATACTATGTTGGGGCTCCTTGTTATAATTGTAGTATAATGGGCCCCAAAACCCTGTTCTAATTACTAAGGCCCTATACGAGGCTCAGGTACTGAATGCTGCCGCAACCCTCGTTTATGCATGATTGCCTGCTCGTCCTAGACGATTTCGCGGGACAATATGCGGAAGC